GCATTTATATGCAAAATAAAAGATCTTCAAAACACCCGTTATTGTGTCATTCGTTTGCCCCCAAAGTCCCAAACATATATAACTAACCGGTAAAAACATGCATTTGCACGATATGAAAGGCTTTAGTTATTGGGATTCACTAATAGACTTCGAGAAGAAGTTATCATAACATCAACTATAATGGGAATCAAATGCGAACCGACTGAACACAGGCCACCAATCGGGTTGACTACCGTTAACCATATGGTAACAGTAGGGGTGCCGACCACTGTTGGGCATTGAATAGCATATCTAGAGCAGAGATTATTCGGGAATAAAAACAACCAATTTCGGTCGGGAACCGGGAGTAAAACAGTCAAATTCGGGAATATTAGGAAATTATCGTTTATTCACTACAAACACAATAATTGTGGATTTAAATCATTTTAAAATGAATTATTGGTAGAATAACATAGAAATTGATGTTTTATTCTTTAAGTTTGTCTTCTATTTGCAAGAATATTCTTAAATTGAGAGAAAAACGCCGTCGAACTCATTTAGTGCATATTTTGTTAGGCATATTATTATAGAATTTTGTGAATTTTAGTCTAAAATCACACTCGGTAAATACCGAAACAGATACCCTCCCATAAGAATACATTGTCTTAACTGATGTTATATAAAATATTCTTGTGTCTTAACTATTGTGCGAATTTTATGATGGTTTTTGATGCCTAAGAATGTTAAGCTAAATAATGCTAATCATTTTCATAATTCTAACTGCACTCCTTCAATAAAAAGTCACATACAAGTAAGTTTTTATTAGAACCAATATTATTCATATAACAAATAAACAATTATCGTACAAAATGTATTTAAAAATTTAATTTATACAAATTATTTTAAACCAATTTATGTTGAATTTTTGAATAATATATAAATTCGAAAGTTTTTTAACTACAAAAAGGTTTAGTATTGTATTGTTTATAGAGGTTTATGACATTCGATGAGTTCGTCGACCCTTTCTTGTCATCTATTAATTGTAATAAAAGAGAAAAAGCATTAAAACAAGCGTTAATAATATTATTTATATCAATGTGTCTAACATTGAAAATATGGCACAGAATATCGATTTAACGAAAAAGTCATTCAATTTATATGAAGTGAATGAGAGAAGCGTTGCGTAGATATTAATGTTATACAAAAAGCACAACAAAACTAAGATATTAAACATTTCATCCAAATATAGGAAGTGATTCTTAGAATACCTTTTTTAATACAGTACATATCCATAACATTATGTCTTATTTGACACCTCTTTCAACAATTGAGTTAAATCTGAGACAAACGACAGACAAACAACTATCGGAAGAAAAACTTTCAATGTCTCCGTTGACCAAAAAGTTGCCGAAGTATTGCCTAATATTGTCTTAACTTTGTTTTTGATTGTAATTAAATTGAATTTACAGATGGCTTATAGAGTTTGAGAGCTTCTCTATCAGTGATCCCAAAATGAAGATCGAAACCAATACTCGACCGCTAACTGAGAGTAGTGTCGGTCAAAGACCGCAATGGTTTCAAGAATTGGCTCAACAAAGGAGATCCAGTGAAGTGTTCACTGCTATCGAAACCAACGGTGACTTATTCTCTGTAACCAATGAAAAGTCAGATTTGTCTCCATTTAATGAAACCATCAAAAGAAGAAGGAATTCACACATTGAAGACAACAAACATCTCATCGACGATCATATTATTGCCAAAAGTTATGTTTCGATTCCAAAAGAGATGCAAAACTATTCCGAACCACAAATTATAAGAAAGGGTTTTGAAAATACATTCAAATCATGTGATAATTTACTCTTTGAAATGGAAGATAATTTCATGGATTTTATTATTCCTGAACTTCCATTCGGACAGCAATTAGTCTTCGAGATCATCAATAATTGGGGCGACGAAGACTTCGTTGGACTCAATGGTATCGAAATAATAGACTTAAACGGATCTAATTTTAAGATCAATAAGGTTTGAAGTATTTTGTCAAACACTTTGGTTCGTATCCGATGTGATGACTATTAATCCATGCGTTCATTCATTAGATTTGGAGCGAACCTCAAACTAATAGCAATTTGAATGCATTAATTGACGGAAACTACAGAACTCACGACGACTCACACATTTGGTCCACACAATTGACAGCAAAATCCAGATTTCCATTCAAAATATTTATTCAGTTTGAATCTAATGTCTCAATAGTTTTGATAAGAATCTGGAATTACAACAAATCGCGAATATATTCCTATCGAGGAATCAAATTATTAACCATTTATTTGGACAAAAATCTCATATTTAAAGGAGAGATAGCAAAGGCATCGGGAACTTTGGTCGCACCCATCGAGGCATTCGGCGATGTAATCATACAATCGATAAATTTTTTATTAGTTATCAATTAATGAATGGTTTCATTGCAGACAATACTCTTCACAACGAGTGAAGATGTCTTAGAGTCAGTGGCGGTGAGAGACCACTCATTCCAAGAATTGGTTAATGAAATCATTCCTCTGACACAACATTAATACAATTCTTCGCGTTTTAGTGAAGAACTCTTTATTAAAGCAATTTTTGATAATTTAATATTTCTTAATAACTAATTGTAACTGATTTTGTATTTCGCTTTTAATCTCTAATTACACTAATTGTTAACTCAAAGTAAAACTGAAAGTAAAGTAGAATATCTTGTGGTGAACGACAAGTGTTATCATCGCTCATATTCTTCCTGGGAATATGCCCTCCTGTCTCTGTTCGTCCCATTTCTCGTGCTATACATCATATAAACAGACAATTAATCAATCATTCAATCAAATCAATGTATGGATGAGTAAAGTGATGTCCACCAACCCATGAGACGGGGCAGAGTTCAGTGTAGGCCCATTTGTACCATTTGCACGGCTCGTACTGTTCGCCCTTCACTTTCTGGCAGCGGTGGTAATCCAGATAATTCTGGTAACAGTTCCTGCAATAC